ATTTAAGTCGACGAGCTCCATAATTTGGTAAATCTCCGATGACCAATTATTATAATTTAGGGAGTGATCCCACAGAAATACTTGTTTAACTAGTCTATTGTCATCAAGTTCAGTAAGACGCTTCCACAGTCTAACCATATGGGCCCATCTCCGATCTCTGCACGAGACCCACTCAGGGGCAGCCAATTTGCAAACTCGCTAGCGAATTGGCTAACTGCTTGGGTTTTGACTAAACGGTTGGCTTTCGTATCTCGCTGGCGCCGTCTTGCGGTAACGCCCACTTAAGACGAATCTATATAACAGTAGGGGACGATCCTCATACTTTAGGAGCTATTCGGCAACGGTCTTACAGTTGGATGGCGATTTCGCTTTCAAATATACCAGGGAAAGTGTTCTATGGTCTTCCGTGTCCAGACAAAAACGACGAATGAGGTCGATTTTTTCAGCGGTTGGCTTAAAGTTACCCCAACGGGTCGTTTGCGTGTGAAAGTTTGTTTGTTTCTCAACTTGTTTATTTAGTGTCAAGCAGTGTTCAAGAATATAATAAATATCGGTAGATTAATCGCATTTATAACATTATCACGCCAGCTGACTGTGGCCATTTTAAGGCTCAAATCGTTCAAGGGAGTCCGGACATGTACCAGCCTGAGGATGCGTAAAAACATTGCATGTCCCCTAATGCAATATAGACTCGCCCAGAGTGGACGCGATCACAAACCGGCGCCAGCGAGATTCGACAGCCAACCGTTTAGTCAAAACCAAAGCAGTTAGCCAATTCGCTAGCGAGTTTGCAAATTGACTGCCCCAATACTTCTGAGACTTGCTGTAACAGCCGGGAGTGGGGAGAACCTATGGGTGCCAAGAAAAAATCTTAAAGCCCTATTTTGAATCATTTCACACTTTTCAAATTTACTAAAGCCCCAAACTCCGGAACAATAATCAAGTATAGGCGCGACACTGGCATCATACAACTTTGTAAATGTGGGAAACCCAAGATTCTTGAGAGTTTTAAATTTAACGAATAACGCTCCTAACACTACTTGCCGAGTCTGCTGCGATACCAGCAGTTACAGAATAATCAACAAATTCATCCAAAACAATCCCAAAATATCTATACTTATCGGTATAATCTAACACGTCATCACCAATACAAAATTGGAATGCACTTCTAGCTTCACAGGCTTTTCTAAAATGTAACATTTTCGATTTCACATTATTAACCCTAATTTTCCATTTTTCACACCAACTTAACATCATTTGCATATCAATTTCATTATCAGCTAACACTATATCATCAGTTTATAACAAAATACTAACATTAACGTTATTATCAGGAGTTATTTTTTTGTTTCAGATTAATTTCAACTGCCAAATCGTTAATAAAGATGGAGAATAATGTAGGAATAAGATTAATCACCCTGGCGCACGCCTTGCTCAGTGTTAAATCAATCTGTTTTAAAATCATTTAGTTTTACAGAAGAATTTGTGTCGCTATAGATAGCTCGTATATACTTGTACATTTTACCATTAATAAGTAATTTGTATAGCAATGCGTCTCTGTCACAGGGTGCTAGTTGGATTGAGCCAAGATTTCAAATTGTCCCAAACAAATGACACCACTGACACCCCTGTGAACTGGGTTCTTTAATAATTCGAAACTTAAGGTAGTTGTATAATTTATATGCAACATAAACAACAAGTACACGCTACACGGGTAAGGTTTAAACAACGTACTTTATTCCACACACCTAAATGATGGGCAGGAAATACCTGACCCGTTACAAGGGGTAGTGGGATACACGTTGTATTGTTACACAAAAATATAACACTAGAAATATAATTCAGTAATAATATTGTAATATTTCCACACGGAAAAAGGGTGGTCACGAAATGCCAAACCCTCTATAAAGGGGTAGTGGATTACGTTATACTATTACGAGGAAATGACTAAATCGATAATGTAAATAATTATCTAACATAGAATCTTGCATGCATGCATAAAACTAAGACAAACATACATAACAAACAACGGACGCAAATAATATACTGGCGATCGGACACAGCCCTACCTATATACAGTTTCTTCAAACTAGATGAAAACGGGTCTTTGCGTGATGACGGTGCATTTTCCAGCGAGTCTAACGGTGGCGACGACGGTAATTACAGAACGCAGTCCGAAGCACTGTAGTCGTAGAATACACGCTGCACACTCAGTCGAGCACGACACCAATCAATTACAGAGTTTGTCTGTCCAATATTCGTAACTTGTAGAAGGAGAGTGGTTCCCTTGCACCGCAGTACACATCCGTAGCCAGCAACATAAATTAGAAGGCACATCCAGTTCAGAACCAAAATCGGGAATGTCATTCACTGGCGAGTTTCCCCACTCGTTAACTGCAGTAGGACGGAATTGGCCAATAGAATTATCTTTATGATGCACATTCCGTAGATCACAATACATTAATTTGTATGACAATACACAGTGCATTGTTCTAACGTTACTTGCAAACGCGTGATCGGACATCCACATTTGATCACATATGAACGTTCAGATCGGGTTCTATCAAAGTCCGCTTTCTAGTACAGACTAAAAGAAACATCTTGCCACACTATATTTAACAATTATTTATCGCCCAAAACAACATTGCCTATCTATCGCCGTAAGACAAACACAAAACGCCACCATCACGACATACAACATAAACATGATTTAATGTTTGACATTCGCGACAGTCTCTATCGACACTGTCGAATGCTTTTCGTAAATCAATGAAAGCGGCAAAAGTTGATAAATCATGGGATATTCTATTCCTGATAATAGATGTCAAAATATAAATATGATCTTCGCAATTTCTATCCTTTCTGAAACCATTTTGCTCATCTACTAAAATATTATTATTTTCTAAAAATCTTGTGATTC